AAAAAAAAAAAAAAAAAAAAAAAGGGCTGGGGATGTAGCTCAGTGGTGAAGCACCTCTGGATGCAATCCCCAGTTATCTGCCCCATCCCAAAAAGAATAAAAAACTCTTAAAATTCAACAATAAGGAAATGAATCTATTTTTAAATAGGCAAAAATCTGAACTGATACTTTGCTAAAGAAGATATACAGATGGTAAATAAGTACAGGAAAATATCCCCCAAATCACTAGTCATCAGGGAACTGCAAATTATAATTGAAATAGATTCTATTACATGTGTAATATAGCTAAAATAAGAAAAAAAGTGATATCAAATGTTGGTGAAGATTCAGAATTAGAATTTCTATACATTACTGGTGCAAGTACAGTGATACTGTCACTTTGGAAAATAGGCAGTTTTTTTGTTTTTTTTTTTAATCAAGTTGTGTATGTCCTGAGCATAGGACCCAGCAATCTCACTCCAACATATTTACTCAAGAGAAACAAAAACTTTTGTTCATACAAAAACCTATTCGGGGAGAATATTTGTAATGGCTTTATTCATAAACAGAAACTAGAAACAACCCTAGTATCCTTCAATGGTGAATAGATAAACAAGTACGTTCATACAATGGAATACCTATTCAACAACAAAAAGGAATGAATCACTGATGCACACAACATGAGAAAACCTCAAATACATTTTTCTAATGTGGAAGATGCCAGATCCGAAAAGGTAATCCTGAATGATTCCATTTTAATGGGTATTTTAGAAAATGCAAAACTATAAAGATGGAGATCAGTCATTGTCAATGGTTGGGAGAAGGAGGAGGGTATGACTGCAGTGGGCAGCAAGGAAACTGGGGGAGGGGAAATTATAGAATTGCTTCTATTTTGATTGTAGTGGAAGCTACATGATTGTATTCATGTCTCAAGATTCATTAAATTATATATCAAAGAAAAAAAAAGCTAGTTGCCAAGCAACTCAGTGAGACCCTGTCTCTAAATCAAATACAAAATAGGGCTGGGGATGTGGCTCAGTGGTTGAATGCCCCTGGGTTCAGTCCTCAGTGCCCAAAACAAACAAACAAACAAACAAACAAATAAACAATAACAAAAAAATAAAACCAGGGCCTTGCACATGCTAAACATGAACTCTACACTGAGCTACACCCTCAGCCACTCCTGCTTGCATATTATAAGATTTATTTTAAGAGTAAAAAGTTGCCATTTTGCTGTACCCTTACCATTATTAGTCATTGTAATTATCATTAATTAGTTATATTTATATAAAATTATATTTATACAATAAATTTTCTACTTTGCTAGATTAAATTTTAATTAGAATTTATTTGATTATTAATGAGCTTAAATATTTTTCTGTATGATTGTTAGGTATTTTTCTTTTTCCTTGAATTATCTGTAGTGGATATTTTTCTACTGAAATGTTGAGAAAAGGTCTATATTAAATATAAATACTATAGACTTCTTATAGGTGATAGAAGTAATTAAATTATTAATTTGCCTATGTAAATATAGGTTTTGTTCACTCATTTTTCAAAGAAGCAAACTTTTATTTCATGTCTTAACATAAGACAAAATACATTTTACTTTTGAGATAACTTTTTTCAATCATATCTTTTTAAGGAGCTCCCGTCTTACCTTGGTAAACTGGACGTCCCATTTCAAAGAGGTAATATTTCTCATTTATCACTTAAACATTGACATTAAAGTATATTCATTTATGCTGAGAAGCCCATCTGTGTCCTTTTATCATAGTTATCTTCTTGTTAAAAGTACTGTCCTGTAAGCTTATTCTCTCAGAACTACAAATATGCGACCTTGATAGGTCATCTGATCCAAAGATGATTAGGCCCAACCATTTAACTAGGTCTCTTTATTTAAATTTACATAAAATTAATTCAAGCTGGGCTGGGGATGTGGCTCAAGCGGTAGCGCGCTCACCTGGCATGCGTGCGGCCCGGGTTCGATCCTCAGCACCACATACAAAGATGTTGTGTCCACCGAAAACTAAAAAATAAATATTAAAAAAATTCTCTCTCACACACACTCTCTCTCTCCCTCTCTTTAAAAAAAAAATAATAATTCAAGCTGGAATACTAATTGTAGGAAACTTGAATATTATTGGGAATATTTTGCATTTCTAAAGCTTCGATTCTAGAATATTGCCATAACTTATAGTAGTCATCCATCATGAATAGAATAAAGAATAAGTAAAAAGAAGTAGAAAGGACCTCTCTTGCAGATCTTTCTGGTTCTTTAACTGTTGATTCTGTCATTCAGCTGTGCCATATTTTAAATGACTGAAAAGACTTTTATTACTCAAACTATTTCCTAGCAATTTAATGGTTTTCTTTCATTAGAGGAAATATTTCTCCCAAAGAAAAGTGTCTCCTTGCCTAATTTATCAGTTACTGCACGTTAGAGTGGAAAATACACCACTTAGAGATATAAGCGCTAAGCAGGTGTAGTCTACCAATATCACAAGTTGGCTTCCCATTTTGAGTGATTCAAATATATAAGTCAATAAAACTACAAGAGGYTGCATGTTATATACCTTGGTATGGTTTGCATATTGTTGAATCCTTGTGAAAATATCAAGAATCTATTTTTATAACTTTTGCAATTTTTAATTTTGATTTTTCAATGATACATAACAATTGTACATATTTGTGGGATACAGTGTTATGTTTCAATACATTATGTGTATTATGTAATGATCAATCAGAGTAATTAGCATATTTGTCATCTCAGACATTTATCTTTTTTTATGTGGTGGAAACATTTAATATCCTCTCTTCTGGCTATTTTTGAAATAGACAATACCCCATTGTTAACTATAGTTACCCTACTGAGTAATAGAACACTAGAACTTGTTCTCTTCTAACTGTAACTTTGAATCAATTGGCTAGCCTTTCTTCTCCTTTCCCCAGCCTCTGGTAACCATTATTTTGTTGGCTACTTGTACTAAATCAACATTTTTAGACTCATTACATATGAGGAAAATTGTATAATATTTGTCTTTCTGTGTCTGGCTTATTTTATTTAGCATAATGTCTTCCAGGTTCTTCCATCTAGTTGTAAATGACAGTTCAGTATTATTATGTTGTATATATGTACATATACACCATGTCCATTATTGGACAATTAGGTTGATTCTATATCTTGGTTACTGTGAATAGTATCAGTAAACTTGGGAATCCAGATATCTCTTTCACATACTGATGTTGTTTCCTTTGAATATATACTAAGTGATGGGATTGCTGCATCATTTAATAGGAAAATTTAAAAATTTTTAGGAACCTCCATACTGTTTTCCATAATGGCTATACTTCATTCTCACCAACAGTGTGCAAGATTCCTTTTTCTCCACATCCTCACCAGTACTTGTTTTCTTTTGTCCTTTTGATACTAGCTATCTTATATGGAGTGAGGCAATATCTCATTGTGGCTTAGACTTGCACTGCCCTGATGATTAGTGATTATTTTTTCATACCTGTTGGTTATTTGTATATCTTCTTTTGGAAAATGCCTATTAAGTTTTTTGCCCATTTTAAAATCAGATTATTTGTTTTTGAGTTTTGGTTTGTTTTGCTTTACTATTCTGGATATAAAATATAACAATATAAACACAAAATATCTCTTGGCAAATGTATATCTGCAAGTATTTTTTTTCCATTCTATAGGTTGTATCTTCCCTCTGTTGTTTCTTTTGTTGTGATTGGATCTATTGATATTAATTTTTTAAAAGAACAGTAACTACTTCCTAAATTTAAAATTGGCTAGTATAGGACTATGCTTATGGCTTAGTGATTGAGTGCTTGCCTAGAATGCTCAAGGTCCCTGTTTTGAGAGAGAGAGAGAGAGAGAGAGAGAGGTTTATTTATTTTTTATTTTTTGTTACTGAGGATTGAACTCAGGAGTACTTGAGCACTGAGCCACATCCCCAGTCCTATTTTGTATTTTATTTAGAGACAGGGTCTCACTGAGTTGCTTAGTGCCTTGCTTTTGCTGAGGCTGGCTTTGAACTCAAGATTCTCCTGTCTCAGCCTCCTAAACTGCTGAAATTACAGGTGTGCACCACCACACCCAACTAAAGTTATCTATTTTTAAGGGATGTTTAAATCTGAGATGTTTATTTAATTTTGTCTTCCAGGTAAGTAACATTGAATTATGTTTGTTTGAGGAAACACATTTTCATTCTCGTAGTTTATAATCCTAATATATAGGATTATATTTCCCATGCTATGTGGCTAGGATTACAGGCATGCGCTAGTGAGCTCAGCAAAGCAGATTGGGGCAGAGAGATTAGGTACCTGAATGACAATCTGAAGTCTGAAGTCTGGGCTTTCTTTTGTTTAGGCTTAGAAAGTCACTGAAGATTATTAAGCAGCAAAAGAGTCTTTTTTTTTTTTTTCTTGGTAGTGGGGATCAAACCCAGGGCCTTCCATATGCTAGACCATTGCACTTCAACTGAGCTACATCCTCAGTCCCTTTTTTCTGATTTTCATATCTCCTTCATAAAGTAATAAAACTTTTGAATGTGAAGAGAACTTTGAGACCATCTAATGCTGCTTTCCATTAGAGATTAAAAACTAAAGTCTAAAGATGTGAATTAACTTGATCAAGTTCATACAACAAGTAAATGATAGAGCTAGAATTTGAAATAAATTTCCTCTTTACCAGCCAGTGTTCAGGTATACCATATTGCCTCTCCATCAGATGTTTCCTCAGATGCTATATTAACATGCCAGGTACTCTCAGGTTTCAGACAACTGTAAAGAATAATAAACTTTCATTCATATTCCATTCAACTCTTATCATAATTGACTTTGGACAATGACTCAAATGTGAAGTTCACTGCATTTGAAACAGAATACTGTAAATATTTGATTCAGAGTAGTCAGAAAGTTGTTCCTTTTTTTTTATCATATTCTGCTCAGAACTCTTATTTAGTTTTCTTTAGATATTGGAGAGACTGCCTGAGGAATATAAATTTCAAAATTTTTGCTCTCTTTGTGGTTCACAACTTTACTGGAGAGTACTTGTTTTTGTTTTTGTTTTTCAATTAAAGGAATTTATTACTAGAACTTTCTGTTCGCCATGTTTATACACACTTTCTGTTCCTACCCACTTACCAAACCTATTCAGATGATTTTTAGTGTGTCAGAGCCACTTGGTGTTCATTCATCTCTTAAATCTCTTACCAAATTCTGACTCATCAAGTAATTATTTTCTTTAAAGGGATTCTTCAATGTGCCACAGGCTATATAAAAAGGATCATAAAAAAGTGTTAACCAAAGAGTTTACATCTATCCTACTTTCTTTATTTTATTTTATTGTTATCGGGATTGAACCCAAGGTGCTTAACCACTAAGCCACAGCCTAGCATTTTTTATATTTTATTTTGAAATAGGGCCTTGCTAAGTTGCTGAGGCTAGGTTTGAACTGGCAATCCTCCTGCCTTGACCTCCCAAGCTGCTGGGAGGGCAGGTGTCCACCACCTCACCCAACTCATCCTACTTACTTTATAGTGGCCCTTTTTTGTTGTTGTTTTCATAAAAAATTCATAATTTGGATAATCTAGAGTTGACTATGATTATAGACAGTTTAAAAGTTCTAGCATCTGTAGGACCCACATCATTCATTGTCATTCAACACACCTATTGCATGCTACTTTTTTTTTTTTTAATTGATATTGGGGATTGAACTCGGCGCCACTACCACTGATCCACATCCCCAGCCCTTTCTTTTTCTTTTTTCTTTTTTTTTTTTTTTTGATTTTGAGACAGGGTCTCCCTAAGTTGCTTAGGGCCTTCCTAATTTGCCAAGGCAGGCCTTGCATTTGTAATTCTCCTGCCACAGCCTCCCAATTCACTGAAATTACAAGCCTGTGCCACCGTGCCTGACTACTTTTCTTCTTGTAGTCTTCTGTTTCCTTGCTCTGGTTATCCTCTGTCCTGAACAATACCAGGACAAACTTCTCTTTCTCCCACTCTTTTTCTACGTTCTATAGGGACTAAGACAGATCTAAGTTATGTATCTTTACTTCATAATAGCACACATTTTTTTTCTACTATACATTTTAATTGCCTTACTCCCTTACTGTTAAGTACTAATATTATATTAATTTAACCTATATGTCATTTTGCTGATCCAAAGTTTGTTTTTTCCTGTTTGACTTTTTTCTAAGCTGACCCTTGTATCTATCTTACTTGGGTGTAAATAGTCYCTTGGCAATTCTTTTTTTATTGGGGGGGGGTACCAGGGATTGAACTCAGGGGCACTCGACCACTGAACCACATCCCCAGCCCTATTTTGTATTTTATTTAGAGACAGGGTTGAGTTGCTTAGTGTCTTGCTTTTTGCTGAAGTTGGTTTTGAACTCGCAATCCTCCTGTCTCAGCCTCCCAAGCCGCTGGGATCACAGGCATGCGCCACCATGTCTGGCCCATGGCAATTCTTTAGTCTGTTAAATTAATTTTTCCACACTTGGAAGACAATAAAATTAAGAAAAATTTTTTTAGTTGTAGATGGACAAATACCTTTATTTAATTTACTTATTTATGTATTTATGTATGTATTTATTTTATTTATTTATTGTGGTACTGAAGATTGAACCCAGTGCCTCACACATGCTAGGCAGCTGCTTTACCCACCAAGCTACAACTGCAGCCCCAACAATAAAATTTTTACTTAAGGGGCTGGGGATGTGGCTCAAGCGGTAACGCGCTCGCCTGGCATACGAGGGACGCTGGGTTCCATCCTCAGCATCACCTAAAAATAAAATAAAGATGTRTCCACCGAAAAATGAAAAATAAATATCAAAAAATTCTCTCTCTTATCTCTCTCGCTCTTTAAAAAAAATGTACTTAACTAGAATATCATTGTTCAAATGGAACTTTTTGCTGAAAAGTGATGAAAATAATCTGTAATTGCACTTTCTGGTATACCCAATAGCTATATATGTGTGTGTTGAGTACTTGAAATGTGGATAGTACAACTGAGAAACTGAACTTTAAATTTTATTTAATATTAATTATTTTAAATTTACCTAGTCTTGTGCAGCTACTGCATAATGGAAATATCACATTCATATTTTTTAGGTTATAAATAAAGATATCAGTTTAAAATAGCTCAAGAGAAAAAAGAGAGAGATTATATAGAATGATAGTGAATCTAACATTAAACATTATTGAATCCAGGGCTGGGGATGTAGCTCAGGGGTAGAGCTCCTTCCAAGCATGTACAAGTCTGCAAAGAAACAAACAAATAAAAGAACATTATTGAATCCAGAGGCTCAAAAAGACTCTCTTGCTTCATCTTGGATTTGCTTATCTGTGTATCTTGGGTATTATTCACATCTATCTTAGGTAGACTTTGTCCAAGTGGTAAAGAATTTGATTCTAGGTATTGATTCATATTCTGTCTACATGGTGACTTCAAGCCGGGGAAAGTCAGTTTCCTTTATGAACTTCAAGAAAAAGGTTTCACTGAGACACAGACTGGGCCAACATGATTCATGTGTCCATTTTGAAGTAAGAATATTCTGATTGGCCTACCCATGGGGGTGAATGGAGAAAGGGAACTGTGATTGACAGCCCTATCAGAACATTGTGTAATAAGGGAGTTATAGTTTTCTATAGGAAAAAACACCAAGTAGACCAAAACAATAACTATGCASTATAAACAGTTTTCAATAATTTAGTTATGTAGTCTCTGACAAGTTTGAACTGTCCCAGTAACAAGCACTAGACAACTATTTCAAGATAATTTAAGCAAAAACATAGTAAATAAAAATGAATGTATTGTTATCTCTCTGTGTGTCTTTCTTTCCCCACCCCCAATTCCTTTTTTTAAAACATTTTATATTGAGAATAGGGTCTAGCTAAATTGCTGAGGCTGGTTTCAAACTTGTGATTCTTTTACTTCAGCCTCTTGAATTGCTGGGATTACAGGCATGAATCACTGTACTCARCAATTTATTGGTTCTCATAAAAAGTCCAGGGATTATATGCCTTCATACATGACTCATTCTAGTTGTTCAAGTAATAATTGATTTTTTTCTATCTCCATTTCTTGATTCTTCATTCATCTGTGTTGTCTTTGTTCTCCGAGACACCTTTTTCACATCGATATAGACCCTTGGCAGCACATACATAATCCGTTCAGTTGAGAGTTTCAGGAATTCTTTTCCAGTGTCCATACTGTTATGTGCATGAAGGGTCTCAGACAGTTCATAAATTCACTCAGGCCAGGTAGGCAGAGCCAAAATGATCAACAGTCCCATCAAAATGACACTTGAGTTCCATCTGAATTTCAAGGAGTGCAATAATTTCTTCTCTTTTTTTTTATTTATATGCTGCTTTTCATATGAGCCCTTATTATAAATAATTTATTTTTTTGACATAGATTTACTTTTTTGATATGTGTCTTTCTCTTAATTTATAATAATAAGGATGAGATTAAGGATTTTTTACCATTTAGTTCTTCATATTATTGGAACTAGAAAGAAAAAATTTTTACAATGGTTTTATGGTATATACAGTGTGTTATATAAATAATTAGAAGCAAAAGGACTAGGAAAAGAGTAAAAAAAATTCCCTTCTAATTTTTTATTACTTTAAAAAAATTTATAGATATTGATAGACCTTTATTTTATTCATTTATTTATATATGGTGCTGAGAATCGAACCCAGTGCCTCACACATGCTAGGCAAGTAAACTACCACTGAGCCACAACTCTAGCCCCTATTTACTTTTAATTCTCTTTGAATAATTGTACTGATAAGAATTCTTTAGCATAGTCCTGAATTACTATGTATTTACCTTGCTTGAACATTATTTTTTCTTTCTTTCTGTGAATTTTTTTCAAATTTTCTTTGAATTTTCTTTCTTTGAGCAGGGATTGAATCCAAGGGCACTTAACCACTGAGCCATATCCTAAGTCCATTTTATTTTTATTTTTTATTTTAAGACAGTGTCTCAAAATTTACTTAGGATCCAGGTGTGGTGGCATACACCTGTAATCCCAGCAGCTCGGGAGGCTGAGGCAGGAGGACTGCAAGTTCAAAGGCAGCTTCAGCGAAAGCAAGGTGCTAAGCAACTCAGTGAGACCCTGTCTCTAAATAAAATACAAAAAATAAATAGGGCTGGGGATGTGGCTCAGTGGTCGAGTGCCCCTGAGTTCAATCCTTGGTAAAAAAAAAAAAAAAAAAAAAAGTAACTTAGGGCCTTACTAAGTTGCTGAGACTGGCTTTGAACTTGCACTCCTCCTGCCTCAACCTTCCATGCCGCTGGAATTACAGGCGTGTACCCTGTGCCTGACCAAACATTATTCTTAATCTCTGAAAAATTCAATGATGATTTCTTGTTAAGGTTTAGTATGCCTGTTGAAGCCCCCTAAAGCCCAAGGTTATGCAAGAGCAGTGGCTAMGACAAAGGTCAGCTCGGGCAGGCCCAAGCTAGGAGGAGAAAATGTTTTTCTGCCCGAGCTGACCTTTGTCTTAGCCACTGCTCTTGCATAACCTTGGGCTTTAGGGGGCTTCAACAGGCATACTAAACCTTAACAATTTCTTAGCAAAACAATCTCAGTCTCAATTAGTAGGGGAATGGTTAAATTAAAATAATCAAATTTTTGTGTAGTTCTTCAGTGAAGTATTTTGAAACCATATAAAATCACAATAAAATCAGATCAATGGATTATATCATTGTCAGTATCCTGGTTTGATATGGTACTATGGTTTTGCAAGAAGTTATCACAAATAAATCTGGATGAAAGTAGATCAATCTTAAAACTGCATGTGAACCTACAGAATTCTTAAAATGTAAAGTTTAAGAAAAATAAATCATAATTATAAACATAAGGTATTGACATGAAAATATTTTTGCATAAAGAATYGGGTTAAATTCTTGTAGGCACACTATATTATAATCATATTAAATTTTGCATAGGAAAAAAGTAGAGAAAGAAAGTATACCAAGTGGTCATCATGGTTATATCTAAGCTATTAGGTTTTAAATGATATTCTTTTTTTCTTAATGCTTTGCCTCAATTTGTAAATGCCTCATATGAACACATACTATAACTGTTTTTTAAAAAGTAAATTACCTTTTAAAAATACATTTACAAATCTTGTTTTCTCAGCGTGCCAGTGTGAAGGAAAAGATAACCGAATTCCATTACTGAAGGAAGTTTTTGATGCCTTTCCTAATACCCCCATTAACATCGATATCAAAGTCAACAACAATGTGCTGATTAAGAAGGTACTGGAGTCATTGCCTCCTCTTGGTGTGTTGCATCCAATTTCACAAACTAAATAAGGTCAGAATAGCTGACTGCTTAGATTGGTAGTGTTCAAGGAAACGTGATACTCCATGGATCAGCATTGTTTTAAATAACATCTTGATAGAGGTCATTTTACTGCAGGGGGGTCTATTTTCAGAGTGAGCTGGCACATTTCAGTCATGAATAAAAGTAAACTCCTATGAGCCAATTATTCTGGTATTTATACAATTACCTTCTGGCTTAACATGTTTAATGTAATACTAATAAATAGTTGTATTCTGTTAAGTAAATTATATAATGGTAAAATGTAAACAATTTTGTGTTTTTTTAAATAATCTGAAATTTAGTTTTTTCAAAATTTTGTACATCCATTATTTGCAATCCATTTTTAAAGTAAAAATTATACAAGTGAATTTACAAATAGGAACATGCATAAAATTTTGAATTTTCACATATAGGTTTCAGAATTGGTGAAGCAGTATAAGCGAGAACACTTAACAGTATGGGGTAATGCCAGTTATGAAATTGTAGAAAAGTGCTACAAAGAGGTAAGTTTCAAAATGGTACAAAATGATCTATCTTTGATGTTGTTATATGTCTATAAATATTCATTATATATATATTATATATATATATATATATATATATATATATATATATATGTATGTTGTAGATGGACAAAAATGCCTCTATTTTATTYCTTTATTTTTTTATGCTATGCTGAGGATCGAACCCAGTGCCTTTCTCATGCTAGGTAAGCACTCTACCACTGAGCTAAATCCCCAGCCCTACATTAATAATTTTTAAAAACTATCTTTTTTCATAGCCTGCAGAGAAAGATAGATGGTACTAAATGGAGGCAACTAGCCAGAAGTTTACTAACAGAGATAATAGATTTGGACCTTGCAATTTAAGTTCAATGTAATTAATTAGACTGGTTCATAGAATTATTCTCACATACTGATAGTAATTGTTGATCACATTTTATTATGTGCATTATAAGACAAAATATGACTCCCATCTTGTAATTTTTTTAGTAATTGTTATGTGTAATTTTGAATTAAAGTGTTTAATCCTCCAACTTCTTTTTGCCTTACCCTTCAAATAGACTTAGTTAAATTAAGCCAAKGTCATGATTATCAGGTAGTATAAAAATCAAGGATATCCACTTATTGAAAATTTTCTGGTTGAAGGAAATATGTCTATAAAAACTAATTTGACCTGGGCATGGTGGTTGCATAATCCCAGCAACTTGAAAGGCTGAGGGAGGAGGATGGTAAGTTCAAGGCCAACCTGGGCAACTTCAAGAGACCCTGTCTCAAAATTTAAATAAATAAACAAATAAAAATATAAATAAAAATAGAAAGGACTGGGGGTGTAGCTCAGTGATAGAGTACTTGCCTAGCATGCACTTTGCCCTGGGTTCGATCCCTACCACTACAAGAGGAGGAAGGGACAGAGAGGAGGAGAAGAAGAAGAAARGGGTGGCAGGGGAAGAGGAGGAGGACTCTTATGAGACAAGTAGCAATTCTCGAATACAAAGAACTTTTGGGAATGGTCATTCCTAAAAAAAAAAAAAAAGGAAAAATAACCACAGTCACCACCATTACAATTCAAAATACAGCTGAGACTCTCATTGAAGCAAATAATTTCTGTTTATGGACAGTAGGTTCTGTGAGATCCTGAGGTAGTTTGTGTACAAAGGAGAGCACTTACTTGACTGAGTAATTTCAAATGCCTAAGAAGTTAGAAGTAAGACTTTTCCATAACTAATTATTGTCTAATGGTATTTTCGTATATTACTCTGCCTGCCAACCTTTTTACACCATCATAAAACTTTTCAAATAAAAAACAATGATAAGGGGCTGGGAGTTGTGGCTCAGAGGTAGAGCACTCACCTAGTGCATGTGAGGCCCTGGGTTCGATCCTCAGCACCACATAAAAATAAATAAATAAAATCAAGGTATTAAAAATAATGATGATATTAATGCTAAAAAAGATGAAGAGAAACTGGACTTCTCATAGGTTCTAGTGGGGCCTGTAAAATAGTATAGTCACTCTCTTCAGTACTTGAGTAGTATTTTTTTTAATAACTAAACATCCATTACCATATGAACCAGTAATTTCATGTTAGGCATTTATCCTAGAAAAATGTAAACTTATGCACACAAAAACCTGTACATGAATGTTTACAATAACCTTATTCATTTGAGCAAAATCCTGGGAAAACCCCAAATGCCCTTCACTACATAAATAGCTGAACAAATTCTGGGACATCCATATAGTAGGGTACTATTCAGCAATGAAAGTTGCTGAATGAACTATTGATACATGCAACAACTTGGATGGTCCTCAAGGACATTATGCTTAGTTAAAAAAAATCTCAAAATGCTATATGATTTTATTTATATAACATTCTCAAAATTGTAGATATAGAGAAAAAATCAGGGGATGGGGTAGAGAGTGAGTACCAATACAGAGATGGCACAAGGGGCTTCTTGTGTGGTCATGAAACAGTTCTGTATCTTGCCTGTGATGGTGCTTACAAAAATCTATATATGGGTTAAAATTGCATAGAAATCTCTCTCTCTCTCTCTCTCTCTCTCTCTCTCTCTCTCTCTCTCACACACACACACACACACACACACACATATACACACACACAAATGAATACATTTTAAAAATAGAGAAGAAAAGAAAAAATGTTGAAAACTGAATAAAGTCTGTAGTCTAATTAACAGAAATGTACTATTTTTTGCAACTTCCTGTAAGTCTGTAAATAGTTCACAATAAAAAGATCACTGTTGGTCCATAATCACAGAATTTTGCCCTTGATTCACGTCCCCCACCGACCCCAAGCCTCTGGCTTTCTATTATATTGAAAACTCCCAAACTCTTTCAGCATAATATTCAAACATCACAATAAAAATGTTTCAATAATATTTGTCATTCATGTTAACAACATTCTGTATAATAAGTGATATGTCTTTTACAGTTTGTAAAGTATGATTTATAAGAATTTTACAAGCTGGGCATGGTGGCACATGCCTGTAATCCCAGCAATACAGGAGGATTGAAGGTTCAAGGCCAGCCTCAGCAACAGCAAGGTGCTAAGCTACTCAATGAGACCCTGTCTCTAATAAAATACAAAAAAAATAGGGCTGGGCATGTGACCCAGTGATTGAGTGTCCCTGAGTTCAATCCCCAGCACCCCATCAAAAGAATAAATAAAAATAAAAAGGGCTGAGGATGTTGCTCAGTGGTTAAGTATTTGGGCTTAATCCCCAGTATCCAAAAAAAAAAAAAAAAAGATATAGGATATGATTGTTGTTAAACATTTGCCAGCCTACCACTCTTCTCCCACCCCCACAAGCAGCCTTGCATAGCTCTCTAGAAGTTCTTTTAGTGCTCTGGTTCCAAAGTTGCAGAAGTTTTGAGTACCAGCCCCAACCCTATTTTTCCCCTAACCTCACTAATCCTTAATGTATGAATTTGCAGAACTCTAGGTTTTTCAGGGTCTTGTATACTGTGTTACAGCTGAAACACGTGTATATAAATAAGTAAAAAATATTACAAAGTATCATATGAACACAGGCAAAATAAATCCTCAAACTTCCTTATTTTTTGTTAAATAAAGAAATAGGTCATTTACTTTAATTATTTAAAATCAATTCTGTTTTGCATGATTTAAAAATATTATAGGGCTGGAGTTGTAGCTCAGTGGTAGAGCTAAAAATGGTAAAGATGCTAAATTTTATGTTGTGTGTATTTTACCAAAGTGAAATATACAGGCACACATACACATATCCTGCAGTTTCAAAAAGTTTTGGAATGCTGAACACATTTTTCAATTGAAACTTAAAATAATGATTAGATTCTTGGCCTAACTTACAAAATCCTATTTATACTTTTAGGTTTGATCCATAACACAGCTAAAATATGACATATACAAATTGATATAATCTCTGTATACTTTCTCCTGTCTCAACAGGTATATTAAATGGGAGTTAGATTACTATTTCCTACATCTTTTTATTTTGTTCTATTAGATTTTGGCATGTTTAGTTTCTAGTTGTGAATACTGTGGCCAACAGAGAGAGTGGTGTTGTAAAAACAAAGAAAAATATAGGGAGTAGAGAAACTTTACTAACATTAATTATAYAATAGGACTCCAAGGTAGATCTTTACTATTTTTTTTTTTTCCTATCCAAATTGGGTTTTTAGGCTGGGGCTGTGACTAGGTGGTAGAGTGCTTGCCAAGCATGCGTGAGGCACCAGGTTCAATCTCAGCATCACATAAAAATAAACAAAATAAAGGTTTAAAAAATGGTTTTTTATTCGTCATAGTCAACTGACACATACAGGTACAAAAATTATAAAAATAAACCAGTAGATATTTAAAGGCAAATGCAAAAATTTGCACATTGAAATTTATACTCTTTTGTTTCAGACTAGCCATTTGGTGTATCTGTAAATGGATATTCACAATTTGGTGACTGCTTGCAATAGATGTCAAGATATAGTCTTGGTAAATTTTGAGACTTATGAAATAATCTTCTTTATTTGAGCAATTACTGTAAAGTAATATATAATATTGTTTGTCTTTTAGAATTCAGATATTCCTATACTCTTCAGTCTACAACGTGTTCTGCTTATTCTTGGCCTTTTCTTCACTGGCCTCTTACCTTTTGTGCCCATTCGAGAACAATTTTTTGAAATCCCAATGCCTTCTATCATACTGAAGTAAGTGCTTATCCTTTTTTCATCAATTATCAATTCTAGAAGGATTAAGATAAAGTCTTGCTGGTTGCAGTGGTGCAAGCCTGTAATCCCAAGGGCTTGGGAGGCTAAGGCAGGAGGATTTCAAGTTCAAAGACAGCCTCAGCAAAAYGAGGCACTAAGCAACTCAGTGAGACCCTAAATAAAATACAAAACATGGTTGGGGAAGTAGCTCAGTGGTCGAGTGCCCCTGAGTTCAATTCCTGTTAACCGTCCCCCGCCAAAAAAAAATAAAAGCTTAATGTTAGTATTGCTTTTGTTTGTTTGGTGCTAGGAATTGAATCCAGGGCCTTGCACATGCCAAGGATACACTCCACCACTGGGTTTCACCCACTCTTTGTTGTGATTTGTCCCCAATAAATTCATTTTGGGGCTTGGTTCCCAAAGTAACTGTACTGAGTGATGGTAAGAATGTGATTAGGTCACTAAGTCACTAAGAGGATTAAAGCCTTTCTTATGGGAATGAGTTCTTGCCCTTGGCTTTTTCTTGCTTCTTTTGTATACTTGCCTTTCTTCTGCATATTCTTTACTGCTTTTCTGTTACCATGAGGCCCTCACAAGAAGCCAACCAGATACCATTGTCATGCTCTTGGAATTCTAAAACTGTGAGCCTAATAATCTCTTTTCTTTATAAATTTTCCAACCTTGGGTATTTTGTTATAGCAACAGAAAACAGTCTAGGATAAATATCATTGTTAAATAATAGGTTTTGCTGGGGTTGGGGAGTATTTCTATGGTAGAGTACTTGATAACATGCATGAGGCCCTGGATTTTTGATCCCCATCATCACATACACACACACACACACACACACACACACACACACACACACACATACCCCAGATTTCTGTAGTTATTTCCATGTTCTGTTCCCTATCAGAGAGAGAGATTTTTTTTTAATATTTATTTTTTAGTTTTCGGCGGACACAACATCTTTGTTTGTATGTGGTGCTCAGGATCGAATCCGGGCCGCA